ATGTGAGGGCAGTATAACAGTTTAGGCCTCAGAAACAGGTCAAGTACTTTATAGGGAATGATAATATCCATGAATGTATATACTGTAGCTCTCTATCAGCTAGTAGTATGTCATGCTTTTCATTATTCCTTATAATTTTGTAAAAATGTATTGTATGAGATTTTAATTTGGGCATCTATAATGTAGCTATTCATCAACCTACATGTAAGTCTAGGAAGTCATATGAATGGCTTTATTGCTTATAAAATCTGCACATAATTGCTTCTCAAAATGTCACCTTTCTCCGATACCACCTGCCAGACAACCATGATTCAGGTGAGAAAAAAAACTGAAAACTTCAAGGCGTTAGAGTATACCTACTGTTCAACATACTTTAAAGAGAACCTTAAATTCTGATTAAAGCAGAAGATAATCTGGAGTTTGAGTAATGATGGGAAATAAATGATAAGAAAATAATTTCTTTTTAAATGAAATGTGTAAGGTGACAAATAAATCATTTAGTAATAACATTCAACTTGCTGAGCAATAAGCAAATACAGATGAGGAATACGAGCAAGCTGTCCAAAATCATGTGCTTAAAAAGTGATTACATTGTGAGTCCTGCTTTTCAGCAATGGTGACTTCCAACAAAGCCTTTATACAATATTTATATTTTGCTACTCAAAACATGCTACATGTATCTACAATCCAATCCATGTGAAACCATTTATCACCACTTTCTCTAAAAAATACAACTTCATTACTACATTACATCTAAGTTTTATATCTCTAAAAATTTTTTTTTATAAAACTCAATCTTATCGTGATTCTAAATAAAATAGTCTGAATTTCTTTCTGAACCACCTGCCATGCAACCATCTTCTACATCTAGGTGAGAAAATAATGTGAGAAATCATCACTTTCCAAGGCTTTACCTTGCCGGCATGCATGCTAGAAAATTATTGATCCATCCCAATATAGTATCCTTACTGTGCCTACCAAATAATGTTATAGACTAAAAGATTGCTCTAACAGTAACAGCGGCAGTACTGTGTATATAATGTGAAGTTCATAATTTTGTTCCTTATAACTGCCAAACACAAAGAAGTTTCTTTTGCCTAAGTTTTTTTTTCACTCTTAGTCAAATCATAAACCATGAAAATCATTACTAAACTATGATAATCTATACAAGCAAAGAGCAGGTTTGCTCTGGAAAAGTCTGGAAAACAGAATATAGAAACAAACACACACACACACACACACATAAAGAATTTTACTTCTTTTCCCTCTTTTTTAGGGGGGGGGGGTACATGTAGGAAGGATAACATGAAGAGCACCAAGAAAAAAGAAGACCACTGTACAATAAAACAAGAAGTTGGAAGTTACTTCATACCGCCCCTAACCACCAAGTACATTGTAATAATTGGGTCGGTTCACCAACTCAAGTATAGAGTATTTTTGGTAAGTGTGAAATAAAGTAAGATACAAACAATCTCTTATAATTATGTGACTGATTGAACTGGAATGTCTGATATAAATACATGTACGTCACTTCATCAAAACGCATACAAAACAGGTAATGTGATGCAAAACAAGAGTTTAATACCCCTGCAGTTTTCCCAACAATATATTTGCATAAAAAGAGGAATTTAAAGTGCAATAAATTCTGTACAATACCAGAGAATTTTCGTTACTTCACATAATCATAACTGCAAATTGTTATAGCATTCTGACAATTGGATTACAAAATATCCTCACTATTTACCACCATCTGCATTTGAGTGAAATCATTATATCACAAAAGAAAATGGATTTGTATTTAGATGGGGAGTTTGAAGTACAAATCAATGCATGATGACTTGAAATCTATAGTAGATGTGGAGTATAATCCATGTTTATAATGTCCCTATTTGCATTTTATAGGATATTGCTATATTCTGCTACTACCACAATGTATTCCAATACAATAAAACAAATGATCATATGTTTTTTTGCTATTTTCATTTTTAGAGCCTTATGTAGCTTTGTTGCTTTATGTTCAGGGTATACAGATTATTTCAAAATGCTTTTACTTGATTCTGCAACTGCAATCTACACAGCTGTGTATACACTATAAAATATTTTTTCTCAAAAGAACATTTTAGGAGTGAGTTGAAACTTTGACAAGCGTAAATAATAGCTGCATTTACACTGCATGCAAGTATCTTTAATTGTTCTCACATTCCGCTGTTTCAACTACATGGAAACATAATGAAAATAGGAAATAAAAAAATTCAGTGTGGTTTTTCTCAAAAGCCGGCAGAAATTTCATAGATTTTTGCTTTGTAAATTCCCACTCTCAAAAACATTGGAGAATGATAATTTTTGTGGTCACTTGACTCTCCTCACTTCTGTGCGGTCGCATACAGAGCAGTGACAAGTTCTACATGCATATGCCCACATCACCCAAGAAACGGAATGAGGAAACAACAACAGCTTTTAATGGGTTTTTCCAGGAGTGAATGACATAAAAAAAAATTGATTTTTCGGAATGGTGTTTGGGCTGTGTAAATGGACCTATTGACAGGAGCCAAATTGCCTAAACTTTCAACTTTTGCCTAAAGATACAATAACATGATCGTCTTTGAGATACAACAGAAGTCAAGGAGGGCGGAGTGAGAGTGAAATAAGGCCTGTCCTCATCAGCTCGAGGTTGCCAAATATCCCGCTATTTGAACTATCCTGATCCAGTTAAATTTGCGTCTTCATCAGCCTGAAGTTGCAATTAGCGGGATATTTGGTCGAGATAATCATCCCAAGATATCTTGGGCTAGTTTGCAAAATATCCCGCTATTTGTCATGTGCGTCTTCACCAGCAAGAAGACTCGCACTATGCACAAACGCTGAGCAAATTATCTCAAGCTAAATTCTCAAGCTCGTGTTTCAAGTTTCGAGGTCAAGTCTCGAGCTGATGAAGACGCAATTTGTAACTTCTGGATTATTTCCCAAATCAGAAATGGCGAGCTATTTGGCAATCTCGAGCTGATGAGGACAGGCCTATTTAGCAAGATGGTAACTTGCAACGTGAGGTGAAATTAAGCCTCCAAGACTCCAAACATATGAAGAGCTCTTGTACATGGCTGATAGATCACGAGAGCACTTGAGAGGCTCGCCTTGAAACTCCATCCTGCTCCAAGGGGACACAACAAACCATGTCTTGATCTACCCCCATTAACCAACCCTGAGGGTTACGAAAGAGACATCCATCCATACATGTATGGACAAGAATGGATAAGTGGTGAGGCTCGGTGAAATTAAAATGAAACATTTTCACTCATCACATCAAGTCACATCAAGACACATTTATTCAAAATTGCTATCGATGCTTAACTTACCTGTACTTTATTCACATTGATGTATATTTCATATACATATATTGTAATTTGTGGGGTTTATTTGTAATTTTTTGTTTTGTTTAATATGTAATTGTTTATCTTTGTATTTTGTTTGTTATAGCGCTTAGAGACTTTGGTGGTAAGTGCTTTATAAGCACCGTTTTTATTATCATTATTATCACTATTATTATTAAGTCTGTCGTTCTGCACTTTTCATACCTAAAACAAGAACAATCCGCTATTACTGACTTATAAATGCCTCATTCGGACAATGATGCAGGAAAACATAAAAAATAAAATAAATACATAAAAAATTCTGGAGAGAAAGAATTTTTGTTTACATGTAAATTAATGGCAAGTAGTTGTGACACATAGTAGCTGCACGCAACAGAGACCCATCATTTTAAACCATCTGAGTGTTAGAAGACATAGATATGAATGGCAGTTTGTTTAGAGATGGTTTACCAGGTTAAGTACAAAGGACTTACATGGAAATGGGTCATCTTGATCCAATCCAATCCAAAAGATATTTGATATACATGTAGCGCCTTTTCCTTGCAGTTACAAAGCTCTGCACACACGCTCGACAATGTTAAGGCCACTTGATGATTGCTATTATAAGATTCATCTGGTTCATTAATATTCAGCAGGACACAGCTATCAAAATCTGTGATTCATGGCTTGAATTTCAAGCTTGGCGATTTTTGTTGGACTCGATGAGGATGGTTCCTGACACCTTCTTGGCACAGCATGTAATATTCCTTGGAATGGTATTGAAATTAACATTGACAACTTCCATAATGAGAGTATGGGCCAGGTTTAGGGAGTATTCCAGGACTTTTCAACTATACATACAGTAAAGTTTTAAAAATCAAACCAGAATTTTTGGATCTCAGTCATTTACAAAGACACCTTATACACTAGTTTATTTCTCTGGATAAAAAGGAGAAAATTCACTCTTTGCAGAAAATATAATAAATGAATAAAAAAAACAAGGGTTTAAAGCCCTTCCGGACTCTAACACAATCATATAACTGATATCATTTACACATTTTTCTATCATTGTTTGAAGAAAGACTAATCCACTCTGGCCACTCATTCTATATGTACAGGAATTCCATCCTAAAACTGATACAAACTAAAGCTGCACCTGTATCCTGTGTCATGTATCTGTTTCAGCTTTTATTAAAGATTTCAAGTGATTCCATGCAGGAGAATAAAATCCATTCTTGATTTATTCACAGTGGAAACTTAATTCTCCTGTAGAAATTTACAGTGGAGAACCTGTCTATAAAGACCACCCAAGGGCAACAAAAAGTGGTCTTTATAGTCAGGTGGTCTTTAAGTACAGGTTCCTTTAGTACATGTTTCAATGACAAACCATTTTCAAGGGAAACAAAAAATATGGTCTTTGAAGACAGTTGATCTTTCTATACAGGTGGTCGCTAAGGCAGGTTTGATTATAGAAGCACTGAAATACAGTTTCATAGCAGTTGTCACTCGATATCGAGATTTGAAATCAGAATCATCTACAAAGAGACAAAAGGGTATCAACACCATGTCCAACTATCAAAGCCCTTCTTATTCTCAACAAATATTGTAATTAACAGTTAAAAGGAAGAATCTTAGGGAAAGTAGAGTACTCACCGATGCCGCTAGCTCAGGCACATCAAGTTCTAATTCCCCATCCGCGGGTAAGCTCTTTGAATGTCTAGAATCATTGTTCACATCGAAAGACAAGATTTTCCTGGAAGACGAAGAGCTAGATCTTCTCACAAGTTTGCTACCATTAGTCCTGGCCGCGCCTGAGTCTGAATCACTGGAATATTGCTGGGGTCTACCGTCCGTCTCAACAAATAGTCTACTACGATCAATGACCGATCCTCCAAAGCGATGGGAGCGCGGAAGCGAGTTGTAGTTCTGAGTTTTGTTGCTGAGTTGCGGTTCTGAAGCAGAGAGTAAAGAGCGGGATCTCGTCGTGGTGATGTTCTCGTCATCGGAGTGACCGTGGGACTTGTGATGGGCTTTCTCCATGACGTGGGAGCCGATCTTACGCATGGGTTTGGTTTTATGCTTAAAGCGCTTCCAAAGGCCAGGTCGTTTCTTCTTCTTGCCATGGGGATACTGCGGTGTAGAGGTGGAGAGTGGCTCGTCGCCCTCTGTGGCAATGAGGTGGTCAGCATGGTCAGTATCGTCCTCTCCGTACTGATCTTCTGAATCACTGTCCATGGTCTTGGATTTACGGGATGAGCCTGTCAATGAGAAAGGATTGAAACCTTTGCAAAATTAGTTGAATTACTTCAATGTATCTCTTACAAATGTAATTGGATAAAGATATCATTGTATGATGGTACATGTAATAGTTAAGAGAGAAAACCTTTCTTGGCCATGCAAATTATTAAGAGAATAAGAGTTACAATCTATTTCATCTCCTCAACTAATAGTAACTTACTTCTTATATGTTAAAAAAAGATGTGTTTATTGTAGCAATAATGGAGAAACAATAGATTGTGATAACTGATTGTGTTTAAGTTGATTTTTATGTGACAGGGCCCCTGTGCCCCTGTGAATAATTTTTCATTGTAAACCATTCAGAACAGAACACAGAGCAGCTCAAAGCGTGGTGCTGTATGTAAAGTGTATATTGCACTGTCTTGCACTGTTATGTCTACGATCAAGACAATGAGAGCTGCATTATTACGATATTACGTCTGCATGAACACTTTGATGACCTAATACATATTAATCATGCATGGGATTTATGAATGGGATGATTGTCTCATCATCAAAAGCATACCTGTGCATGTACACCTACATTTGATATTATTGGTTCACAAATCTTTTTTTACTTCAAGGACCACCACAAATGATTCAGACTACGTAAGATCCAAAGTTTCTCAAAGGTATGGCTGGGGTTATGATGCAAATGACTACAGACAATGAGCCGGACAATGTCGGTCTTCTGAGTCTTCTTCTAGCCACTTTCCAGAGGCTTCGCTAGACCGACTGCCTAAGAGCCTGATATTTCTTTGTTTTGTCAGTCTCATGGGCCATCTCTCGCGTCCGGGATGATCCCATGCAAAATGATGGAGAGCAAATCAAAAGCTCCAACAATTTATATAAATAACGATTCAATGCAAGAAACCTACAGCGGTATGAAATAATTTGCCTTGGAATAAACGTGTATGGGGGGAATCATCACCTGCGATGTAAGGAATACCATGGCAACGAGACTGAAAGTGTGAAACAGTGCAGTGCTACCCATATTGAGATGCATGTATGTATGCCAAATAAATGGAAGAATGAACCAACACAGAGAGTGATGTAGTACCTACATGTAAGAATGGTTGGAGTGATGTCATACATCAGATCAGACAGTGCAGTAGAAAGTCAGAACCAAATAACCATCTTCAATAAATAGTTGTCTGAAGGTTTCTACAATATGTATTGCTGTCTTAGAGTACAAATTTATTTGTCGACATGTCTGGTCAAACATTTGGCTGACGGCAAGACCTGTCGATAAAATGATGATCGGTAAATTTTAGCATTGATATCAACGTTCATACAGTCATACACCGGATATAAAAGCCATAGACCGCCAATTATCTAGGGGTCCAATGTCCCGGTTATGTTCATAAAAAGGAATGAATAACTGTTGACAGATAACATCACCAAACAGACCATAAAGATACTTATTTATGTCAAGTGATACTTTGCTTCGGAACTGGTCCCTTTATAAATCCAAGAAATGCCACAATCATGGCACAAGTTTTATAACACAATTATCAACGGCCGTTGTTTTCTCTATAATATCATCAAATAGAGATATATACATCTCATCCACTCAGTATCAATGTTCAATTTACAGATCTTAGACACCAAACCTTGGTTCAAGTCTAATTTTGATTACCGGTACTCTAAGAGAATGAATTAATTCTTTGCCAGACTTCTCAATTCTACAAAGACAAAGGCCAGTCAAATATATACTTATCAACATAGGTCTCAGTCACACCAATGCAATCCTTCAATGAAAAGAACTTTTTTCAAAAACGACAACAGAAACCTGAAAACCTAAATATATTTCAATTATTTATAAGGGTACAGAGTACAGTCATAGACTGTTCAGTACACATCTGTCACAATTAATTTGACACTTATATGAATTGAACTGTGAGAGCCACCTGTGCTCATCCAGAGCTCCAACTGAGAAAGCTTCAATTGATTACGGTAATAGAGTTAAAGTGGAATATGGCTAGTGTAACTGTAGGGAGTGAATTTGAAATGTGATACTGATGATGAATTATTTCTGATAGTGGAATAAGACTGGGTGATTCCACGTTATGACATTTGAAAGCTACATATAGCTCATTAAGTGATTCACTTTGTGAAAGCTTGTCTTATTTTTCATTGGCACTACTGAAACATACACTGATTTGTATTTTTATCAACGATTATTTTTAGTGATTTTTTAATAAAAATCTTCAAGTGAAAGTTTTTTTTTTTAAGCGCAATGTAAGAAGTACACTTACACTATACGGAATTTCCAGTACAATATATAGGAAACTTTCTTTGATATAATTATTTCATCTTAAAATATGATTTACATTTGACATGACTATTGATTATTATAGGCAGGAAACTATTCTTAACATATCTCCATATACTACCCAACTCGGGGCTATAAGCAATTACATGGTTCGCATATTTCTGACATCTAGGTTATTTGATTAATCACCATGGAGAATTGCTCTCTGCATCTTACATGAAGTTTACTCAGAAAGTCTTGTCCATTTGGTCACTAATTTGATTATCCATGCGATGTCTCTTATAAATCAAATCACACATCTTCTCAACAGTGATTTTTTTTCTCTTGAGATATAAGAGAGAATATCTAATATCTAATACAAAATCTTAAAGGAGAAGAAGAAAATCTGTTTCAAGCAACATTCATTAAAAAAAATGGAGACTGAGCAAATAAATACTGATTGATAATAAAAACCATCTTCAATGCTCTGTCACTTCATATTTGGAAAGCATCTTTCAAAAGACTTATGGGACTGGAAAGATTAATTCCATTAACAGCAAACAGGAAACAAAACCATATAATGAAAAGAAAGTACTTTTGTAGAGAGATACCTGAGATGAAATATGAGAACCATCATACTGCATAATAGATACATCATTTGTAAACCGAGGAGTTACAGGATTAAGCTACCAAGAAGTAATGTTTTCAGAATGAGTGCACTTCCTACGTTATTGTAACCAAAACCAGCGTTTTAGAATTCATGGCCATGAGAAAGATCTCATGAATCAAGCAAACTGCAGCAATACAATGAAAAGTCTGAAAGTGTAGCAATAACACTTTCATTTTGTAATCTGAGTGTGGCAAAAATATGAGCTATTATAAATACTTTTCATGAACTCCAGCAAAATGTACAATAATCATTATCAGTAACAGTTCTAGAAGGAAGGGGGGGGGGGGCTTGCAGGCTTGTCTGATAATTTTACTGAAATCCTTGTTTTCTTTTTTTTTTCCTCTTCAATTCAATTCAATTTTACTTCATTCAGTTAAAAAGACAACATTGGATGTGACAATCAGATATATAACATAAAATACACATTAAGAACATTAAGGACAAGGACATAAAATAAACTGAATAGCTTGCAGCCTGAAAAGGAAACATAATCCTTAAATACAGGTTGACCTTTTTTTGATAGGTTCCTCACATTCTACTTAATCTATTATATGAATTGAGAATCATTGAGATGTGCTCATTTATACTACAATTGTATAATTGTATATTTTATATGTATGTCTATATTTTCTGTAAAATGTGGAACAAATAAAAACTTGAAAATAATAAAAAATAAATAAAAAATGCATTTGTGTACAACACAATCAACTGAGTACTAAGAAAGCCTCATCACTTCATCAGTGTGGTAACGCAGTGTACATACAACATACAGCTTTCATTCATCACTTTTGACACAACAGAATATCTCATTTAGTTGATGGAAAGTCAATGTGCATGCCTTGTATTCATTGCAGCTGTAGAAGCAAAGGTCTGGTCTCCGAGAGTAACCCAATATTGGCGGTACCTGTCCATACAATGTGCAGGTGAATAGATGCAGGGCTGTTATCACACATGAATGCCTCCTCTCTGTAACACTCCAAAGGTTGTCATGCAAATGGTGGACTCTACTCTTAAGCCCTTGACTACTGGATTCTCTACTTCCCATAGGCTTAATACAGGAATAACCTGGTTCTAGTAGGCGATGGGTTAATCATCCTTCTCCCAATCCTGGTATATTAATCCCGGACACTGACAGAATATGAGCAAGGGGAAAAAATATTTGATTTGAATTTTACTGAAATTGGATTATATTTTTCTAGTATTTTTATGAATTCATTTATATCATGAGAAATGAATGATAAGAATATCATCTGTTCGGAACCAGAAGGGCAGTAATTCACATAATTTAACACAGAGATACACCCTTCTGGCTCTGAACAGAATATAAAGACCTTCATATATTAGACCATATAGTGATTGTGTTATATTAGGCCTGTCCTCATTAGCTCGAGATGGCCAAATACCCCGCTATTTCTGATTCGTGAAATTAATTTGGCAGGTGAAAACTCTGGAAATATTCAAAAGATATCTTGAGCTAGTTTGTAAAATAGCTTGGTATTTGTCGAGCTCAAGCTCTCGTTTGGAGCTGATGAAGACACGATTTGTAACTTCGGGCTAACTTCCCGAATCAGAAATAGCAGGCTATTTGGCCAACTCGAGCTGATGAGGACAGGCTTACTGTCTGCTGAGAGCCAGAAGGGTGTTAACATATACTTTAACAAATATGCTCTTTACTATTCATTACAGAACTTTGCCCCTCTGTGCTATATTGGACAATGATAAAACACAAGCCAGAATACAAATGTTGGCTTTAATGTTAAAATGATCTTTATTTGTCATGTCAACATCCACTCACTTACAGGTTTGGGCAAGTAAACATTCAGGAACAAACACAGTAATGTTCAAACCTCACATGCTTATTGGAATTAGACTATCTGGAAAATACAATGCACAATGTAAGTGTAAAAAAAATCTACTGATAAATAGTACATTGTGATCATTTTCCATGATAACATATATCAACCAGTGCGCAACTTTTCATATTGTTTAAATATTTTTGTATTAATGAGTACACTACAAATAGACAAAAAGAAGCTCAGTTTTGTTAGAAACGTTCATGAAACATGATCCAAGAGCAATATTTGAAAAGCTTTGAGAAACTATAGTACAGGAGATGGATGAATTAAGGGGCAATACTAGGAAAAAGAAACAAAATTAACTTAAAAAACTTATACATGTATACCTAAATATATCAAGTGATATATGATATGTATCTACTGAATAAGAACTACCAAACAGAAACTACCAGGTTTAAATTCACAATACAATAACAATTCTACTATTGTACTGTTCAGATAAAAAGGACCAACACTTTGGGAACACAGTAAGAGACTAGTGTTTCAGGAATTGGTTATTATAATGAAACAGTGTTAGGAAAGCCTCAGAAGATTCTTGAACGACAAGATATAGATGGCCTTGTAGGACCATGGAGCGTAGTAGGTCCGTGGTATGATCATACCAAGAGCCATCTGCTCCCGCTAGCTTTCCTTTCCGAACCAACATGAATTAGACACATTACCTGGCAACCTATTCCACCATCTCCGGCCATGGTCTGCTGAAAAGTACTTGACCATGGTATTGACCAATGCAATAAGCTGAACACACTAACAATCCAAACAAACAAGTGTCCAATTCCACACTTCAGGCTCAAGGGATACAATCCTGATCCATTAGTCCCATCAATAACATTTCATGTTTGTCCATCTGGATCTATACAACATCTCTCACATCCTCTACGGTATTAATAATCAACCAAACGTCGAGTCACATTGTCCGTCGTTGCACGCATCTTGGAATGCCAGCAGGAAGTACCATTGACGAAAGGCCTCCCGCCGCCGCCGTCAGAGGCGGGGTATTTATAGCCATGACAACCAACCGGCTGAAGATTCTTTGGTAGTAATTGGTGGAGGAGAATAATGAATATTTCATGGAGAAATATAATGAAGAGTAATACACAGAGATATATATGGTAATGAATCTGAAAGTGGGGAGGGATAATGGCAATAGTAGAAACTGGTTTAAATTGGTTTAATGGCCTAGGATATATGGATAATCATCATTATGTGATTAGAGTAATTGGCTTTGATGGCATGCGTATGGGTAGAAAGACGACACTTAATAGCGGTCGAGCACGTGCTGTACATGTAGAACCTTTCAGGTAATTATTGGTATTTGTGTCACAAAGTCATCAAGCTTTTCCATTCCCTAATTGCTTGACCTGTTATAATGATAGCATTATAAAATGTACATGGTGAAAATATAGCTAGAGTATAATAATTTGTAAATATATTGATGAAATTTCACTCTCTACAGAAGAAGATCGGCTGAGAAAATGTACACTCATTACAGTAATGGCATTTAATAAATTTTCAATGACAGACTATGACATTGTAATTTCCCTCTCATTATTGTCAAAACCCATCATCGCTGATAAATTGGTCATTTAAAAACAGCAGCAAACAGTGTACGGATGGGGGACTTATTCTACTCATTACCATCATACTCAATATCATCATCATAATTACCCTAATCTTTACTGATCCGTATTACCGATAGGATGATAACCACCGTCCCCATGACCAACATCATCACTTTCCTATCCTTCATCATCGTCATTATCAATATTGTCTTCATCATCATCATCATCCTTACTACCACCATTACTACCCCCACCATCATCACTATAATATTAACAATTACCAATACCATTACCACCACCACTTCCATCATCATCATCCTCATAGCCATCATCATTATAACCACATCATTCATCATATATGTCATCATCGTCATTGTCATCGTCATCATCATCACTATTCATCATCATCATCATCATCATTATTCAACATCATCATCATCATTTTTCATCATCATCATCATCATTATTCTTCTTCTTCATCATCATTTTTCATTATCATCATCAATTTCATCATCATCATCATCATCATCATCATCATCATCATCATCATCATCATCATCATCATCATCATCATCATCATCTTCATCATTGAGGCTCATTGCAATGAACATTACAATTCATCACCAGCAATGCAGAGTAAAATCATCAACATCACTGACAATTAACAATTCATTACATCAGCAATCATTATCACCACAACAACTACCATCGACTTCACTATAACCACATCATTAATGCAGGCACCATCATCAATTGTATCCCAATCATTATCCATAACGATGTGTGAGCATTGATGTGGAGAAGAGTTTCATGCCTCAGCCTCCAAGGGTTGAATCATCCGGTTACTATGACAACAGAACACACAGACCACAAGAACCACTAACGCTAATGCAGAGATGCCCCTGCTCCTGACAAATGAGCCTGATCTTTGATCTTCTCTCTTCCAATCTTTCTCTTGAGTCTGTTTGTCTTCCAATCTACCATTACTCCTCCTAGCACAGGCCAGTGAGGCAGCTCTTCAAACTTGATCAATGTCACTTTTCAAATGTATGCTACGGTCTTGAACCTTTGCCATAGCAAATATTAAAATGTAGAGGTTTTAAATATCACAAATTCACAATCTCAGTCTAGAATATCAGGACCAGTACATCTGAATATAACACGTATAATGAAATGTGCGACATGGGTGGAAATAGCAAAAATTAAAATAATCATGTACGTAATAAATATTTATAATTACCAATCCTTATCCATAACAAGGAAAACAATACATGAAGCCTACAATTAACCATCCATTATTGCAGTTAAGCTGTTAAAAATTGTGTGTAGTTTCGATAGTTTCAGGTATCAAACAGTTTCTAGTTCGGACAGATGGGGGGGGGGGGGGGTAGGGAGGGGTAGATGGTGGGGTAAAGATCTACTTTCTCCTGTCAGCACTGATCATGTTTCATTCTCAATCAGACATATATCACAGCCTATGTAGGCCATCCATCTCACACTCAGAAAACACTCTGTCATTGACCTTGTATAGGACCCCTGTTACACATACGTCTGAAAGTGGACTGAGGCCGGCCCCGGAGTCGGCTCGACGTATGTGTAACACCAACTTTTTTCGAAAAGCCGGACTGAGGCCAGGTGGACTCAGTCCACCTCGGGATGTGGTTTGAGGCCGGCCTCAGTCCCGCAATCGGTATGTGTAACACCAAAAGTGGACTCGGGCCGGCTTATAAGCGGAAGTGACGTAACCTGTATTCTTTGTTTTTATCATTCTATCACTCTCTCTTTCTGTCTTTCCTTATGTTATTCTTTGTTTTTATCATTCTATCACTTTCTCTTTCTGTCTTTCCTTATGTGAAATGTTTTTATCATTCTATCCTTTTTTCTTTCTGTCTTTCCTTATGTTATTCTTTGTTTTTATCATTCTATCGCTTTCTCTTTCTGTCTTTCCTTATGTTATTCTTTGTTTCTTCCTTCTATAACCTTCTCTTTCTGTCTTTCCTTATGTTATTCTTTGTGTTTATCATTCTATCACTTTCTCTTTCTGTCTTTCCTTATGTTATTCTTTGTTTCTTCCTTCTATAACCTTCTCTTTCTGTCTTTCCTTATGTTATTCTTTGTGTTTATCATTCTATCACTTTCTCTTTCTGTCTTTCCTTATGTTATTCTTTGTTTCTTCCTTCTTTCATCTTCTCTTATGTTATTCTTTGTTTTTATCATTCTATCACTCTCTTTTTCTGTCTTTCCTTATCTTTTTCTTTGTTTTTATCATTCTATCACTTTCTCTTTCTGTCTTTCCTTATGTTATTCTTTGTTTCTCCCTTCTATTACCTTCTCTTATGTTATTCTTTGTTTTTATCATTCTATCACTTTCTCTTTCTGTCTTTCTGGAGTCCGCCCCAACATCAGCTCGTGAAAAGGCGACGTGAGGCCGGCCTATGTGTAGACGCAAAATTGCGGGCCCGAGATCATGTGTAACAGGGGTTTGATGATCTCGAGGCGGCTTCAAATTGCCGGTGTGAGGCCGCCTTCGGGGCCCGCTTTAAAAGCCGACGCATGTGTAACAGGGGTCTAGGATTGATTGATTTCATGGAAGTAGTCTACGGTACATACTGAACTATGTTGCAAACAAAAACTCTTTCCATAATCTACTATTTACCATAAAGACCTAGTAACAAATCTTAGGACTATATTGTAGCTTCACCAGAACTTGAAATATGCATAGTAGTACAGTATACTGTACAGGTGACTTTTGCTTTATGAACACTTACATGTATCATGAGGTAGACTCAACATTAACAAGTGCCGAGGACACATGGCCGCCTAAAACCCATGTCTGGACCCCCCCCCCCCCCCCTTGATATTTTTCTATACGGCTTATGTGTACAGGCTGTGAAAAGTTCAATCTGAACCCATTTCCAAAAAGCTAGTGTGGAGCCCTGCAGTATTATAATGGGCAAGTGGCCTCAATTGGCCTTATGTGCTCAGTTACAATTTTAGCTTTATAGAGTCTGCAAGTTCAGACTACAATAGAATTCATTTCACAGTCCATGATATTTGTATTGTTTCTTTAACCTGCATTTTTTATTTACACTTCTGTTAAATTTCACACAAAACAGAAAAGAGAAATACAGAGTACCGGTATACACTTTACGAAAGCAGGTATACACTTTACAAAAGCAGGTGTAACTTGATCAATTTTTTTCTCCTGATATTCCTCTTTTTAAACATTGTGTAAATCAATAGAACTGCAAATAAATATCCTTTTTTTGTGCATGCCAATTATACAATCCAGGGTACAGACTCATTCATTCAAATCCTGCTGGTTCCAAGATTTTTTCTGACTTGTTTTCGATCACAGATTGAGCACGCAATCTTTATTTACTGGGTGTAAGCCAAAAATGTATTAAAGCTACATGTAGACTCAAATTAGTTTTATGGTATTCTACATTTGCACATCGTTCTTATGAATGCATGTACTCAAAAACCAGACACTGAAACTGAATATTTCAACTGGGTTTTAAGTATTAAATTATTGACAAGTAGGAAGTCATTTACTTCTTTCGTCCTTTACTCTCCTTTTCCCCTATGAAAGGCTTTTTAACAGGTGCAATAAATCATTTATGAATTCTTTGTTCACTTTTTGAACAAGATGGTTATCCATCAATCTGCTCACAATACCCTTACCACAAGAACATAACTCATCATCTATAATCGCATTGTTAAGCAAATACCTACAGGTGTAAAGCAATCAAATTACATGTTATTATTATTATTATTATTTATTAGGCCAATCATAAAAGCACAATACAATGACATTTTGACAGATCATGCAATACATAAACAATACAAGAGGAAAAGGGAGGGAGCAAGGTGTGGGACAGGGCTCACAAAAGTGAAATTCAACACTAATAACTCTTGTGTTATTGTATATATTCTAGTCTTTAATAAACATATTATGAACCATTATCACACTGAACTCTGGGTCAACAACAATTCAACTGTTCTGCTTCATTATTCTTTCTATTGATCCAAAACTAGTACAATTTTTTTCCCTTTCCTTATCCATTTTAAAAATAACAATTCCTTGATTTTTCACCAGGAGTAAGAAACTTTCTCACACATCTGCTTCAAGTCATAGCAAATTCAACAACCCAATGTTTCAAAATTATGCAGACGACGTGCACCGAATCCTACCCCTAAATAAAATGGCAATGGTGCGCCTGCTACGCTATAGCAAACTTTTCTTCCTAGTAAGTAGCACTACATGTACATAAAAAAGTTTGTGTAGGGCCAAAGTATATTATACACATGAGAAGTGAAGAGAAACAAAACAAAACAAAAATCTTTACAATGTTTGACTACATCAATGTTTAAAATCTCTTGACACATGTCAACAATAAATCTAAATGACAGAGTTTCAATATTTACTTTGCTTAGATTCCTGATAACAAAAGAATTTTGTGTTAATTAGTCATTATACTTGTCACCGGTGGGTTGGCCGCATATAACAACAAAGCCTTGTTCAAATACATGTAATGTACATGTACATGTATGCTGCAGTAAACTGACACAGTTTTTTAAGGGTTTTCACACCTACATGTAAGCATATTGTACTTCACATTTGTATCTTACAACACACAGTTAATTGATGAATGCCTTTTTTTGTTTTAATCTACAAAAAAAACCTGTGGTTTACCAATGTACTGAACTGCCGCCCCCCCCCCCCCAAAAAAGCCTCATTTTTAAAAATGAGTATGAGCATGATTAACGGCTCGCAACAAAGGTCCTTGGTGTATTCATTATATACCTGTAGCTCTGTGTTGTAAGATAGAGAAAGGTGCAGTAATCATTACGTCATCATTTTTTTTAAAGCAGCGGTTTACCTTGGTCACATCTGTACTGTAAGCCTCTATTAAACTCTTAAAAAAGAATTAATGAACATAGAAAATGTATGGTGCACATCGATCCGTGGTATTGAATCCTTTTATTAATATAGGTGTCATTATCAAAGAGATGGAACCAGCCATACAGCTCAGGGAGGCTAGTATACTAGGATCTCCTGCAACTCTACCATCTGTTCTACAACTTGTATCAACTTACATGTAAAAGTGACGATACTTTCTATCTCATACTCTCATATGACACAATTGGGGTTTAGGTCTAAATAGTCTCCATGGTCTACATTTTTCCATGTATGCATACATGTACTTGACCTTGATCCTTTGCCC